CCCAGCATGTTTTTCCCGAGATAAAGAATTGTGGTTGTTTTGATTTGACTTAGTCTTGAGGAATGTCGAGATCATCTGCATGCATGTGAAACTTGTTTGAAAGTGCATTCAACAGACTTTGCCATGTGTTTGTAGGATTTGGACTTGCCTTGACCCTAACGTTTGAATAACTAAGTGAGTGGTATTTTTAATAAAGCTATGTTATAATGCTTTGATAAAAGTCTTGTTTGCTTCGTTTTGGAAAGTAATTGTAAAGCATGAATGGTCATTCCTAATTGGAAAATATATTTATATTGTTTTGATGACATTCTTGGAAGTCCGTACGTGCTAAGGGACTATAAGCACTTGTAGCACAAAGTTTGGAAGTCCGTACGTGCTAGGGGACTTTAAGTATTAGTAGCACAAGTCCTTAGTGTCAGGGGACTATAATGCAATGGCACCATTGAATTGAGGTATCTCCCTTGTCTTGCCTTGTCTTGTCTTGTTTGCCACTGACGGTTTACCGCGTGGGTTTTGTTTGCCGAGATGTCATCACTTGTATTATAATGATGTTAGTAAGCATCCTTGAAACTTGACAGATTTGGAAGATGGACTTGGCTCATCCCTTGACTTGCACTAATTATGTTATGTATTGTTAATAAAGATCTTGAATACCAATCATGCAAACCCCTTTATTTCTTATACCATTCATTGAGTATCTAAGCTCACCCTCTCAATATATATATGTAGGTGATGAGTAGGAAGGCGGTGACGCCTAGGTGTGACTTGCAAGCTTGTTTTGGATTTTTGTTATGTCGGCCTAACTTGTATTCACGTCGGCAGTCTTGAAAATTATGCTTTTCGGCTTATAATGCTTGTAATGTACACATGTCGGCTGGAGAAGCCTTTTGATCAAGATGTAAAATGTATTTTGTACTTTATTGTATTTGTATTCGAGTTGTAATATTATATAAAGTTGTATGCCATTCCATGTAACTTACGCACTGCTTTTATGGACCGCTTGTAATTTTTTTTTAAATTATTGCTTCCGCACTTGTAAGCCCTATATATATTAATACTCTATTTGTGTGTGGATTTTGGAGGTTGGCCTTCGGTAATCCCGGATTACTGGCCATCACGGCACCAAACTAGTAGGGTTGGTTTGGGGTCGTGATAAGTAATAACTCGGTAAGAATTGAAGGCGAGTTGCATTGGGTTCAACTTATAGAAGTGAAGGATTTGACGGAAAAAAGGGTCAAGTGGAAACCGAAGTCCACACTCAATAAAAGCAACTACAGGGAAGGGCATGGAGTGGTCAGTAGGCATGATGGAGTCATCATCCCCAGCCAACCTCAGATTGACATCGGCTGGGATTTCAAACTCTTGCCTAAAAAAGTCTAGCTTAGAAGGGGTGTCTACCCGATGTTTCCACATACCCATGATATCGGGTTAACTAAAGGTATTGGATTTGAGAAAGAAGATGTTTTCAAAAAGGGTTATTGGGACCTCGGCAAAAAACCTAGGTTTGAACTGGTGCAGAAATTTGTAAGGGATGTTTCAGTTTTTCCTAAAATGTGGATTCTACAGACAAATCCCAAACCTAGAACTATGGAGATGAAGATCAAAGGCACAGATCTGGAAAAGACACAAAAAAAAGACAGAAAACAAAGGCGAAGTTTCAGAATCAAGAGCAGAGATGGACTATCAAAAACATGAAGAATACAAAGGGTTGAAGGCCAAGAACAATGGCAAGACGTGCAAGAAAACTATGAACAGTATATGTATTCAAGGCATAAGCAAAAAGTAAAATCAACGCATTCAGATGTATGATTCACAAATTAAATGTTTGAGCAAGGCAATAATAACAAAAAATTCTAGAAAAGATCAAGAACTGGAATAAGAAGAAAACAGTTGCTTACCAGAAAATATGAAGTCGGTGTAAAGATCGCCGAAGTCAGACGACGATCGTGGAGGCAACGAAATGGTGCAAAACACACCAGAAGTGGTGAGCGGAATAAGTTTCAGAGCAAGAAAGCTTGAACAATGGCGGACTCAAGAAGAGAAAGTTAGAGAGAAAAAAAGTTTTCCAGAAACAAGAATAAAGTGAAAGGGAAAAATTGAAGAGGTGTTTTGTTAAAAATGAAAACGGCGGCAAAAAGTAATCAATACGCCTGAAAGAACGTACGCGTCAGACGACGCACGTGAAAGAGAGACGGCTTACGGGCGCGTCACAGGTACGAACCAGTAAGAAAGAAACGCGTGGCTAAAAATGGTTGAATTATGGTGTATGACAGCTTATACGCGTGAAAGGGTTCTTGAAGTTCTTGTTCTTCAACAAAGACATGTTGGCCAAATAATGATCTCGGCTGAGATACTGAAAACCGACGTATTGGGAAAATTGAATGATATAGGTTCCATCACCTCAGGATGCCGAGGTAATAGAACCTAGGGGGCAGTTGTGGGGACATAATTTTTGAATGACAACACGTGGCCGAGGTGACACCGAAGTGTCAGCCGAGGTGTCATATGTCAGAGTCATAATGCCGAGGTGATCCTGCTCAGGCCGAGGTTATCTCTGAATATATCGGAATCCGAGATAAGCGGATAAGAGATAAAGGACAAGAGTCTTAGAATAAAGAGGAGACTTAGCTAAGATAAGGATAAAGCTCTTAGGGAGTTTATCTCCATCTCTAAAGGAGTCCAAAGTAAGTATTAAACAGGAATTCATAGAAGTCAGGCTTCTATTGGGATTAGGATTGAGGTAACTATAAAAGAGAGGCACCCCCGTGGGTCTAAGGTACACAATCTTATGCTTTGAGCATTGAGTTTAGCATTATTGATTGTCTTTGAGAGATATACTGATTTGATCGTCGGAGTGCCCTCGGGTGGTCGAAACTACCGCCGGAATCTTCTCTTTTTGTTGTAGGTTAGCCAGGTGTAGGTTAGCCAGGTGTCATCTATTTTGCCAGTGTTCTCTAGCTAAATACTGAGTCCGACAGTGTGATCAGAAAATCACTCACATAATAAGTAAGGTCATAATTTTAAAATAATAATATTTTATCAAATGTTAGTACACTAATTAATATATAAATTGATACATGTAATACTACCAAATTTTTTATGATAAATTTTTATGAGTAGTTCAGTTATCAAAGGTCCTCGGAACAAATAGTGGTAGTGGGTGATTGTACGTATTTACATTTTTTGGGAAATTTTAAAAAATAGACTGAGTTAGCTTTTTTATTTTATTTTATTTATTTATTGTTTTTCAATTTTTTTTTTTTTTTGGGGGGTTGAAAAACTCCTTTAGTTTTGTGACTTCCCCCATGTCGAAAACATGAGAAAAATATGTTAAGTTAGTAAACATTCACATAAAATATTCTTTTGAATATGAATTATGAAAAATGTACTAAAGGATGATGCGTCCATATATCTGTGAGTGAATAGGAATAAAAATAAAAAAGTGACATATTTCTCGTGAGCTATAATAAAAAAAAAGTCAGGGCATACACATTCATTTGGATTGTACTTAACCTTTAAACACTTTTTTGTTGTTTATGACATTGCCTTATCTCTTAACAAAGGGTTTGAAACCCAAGCTTACCTTATTATTAGTGAATAGGAATAGAAAAGTGACATCTTTCTCGTGAGCCAAAAAAAAGTTAATGCATACACATTCATTTGGATTGCACTTAATCTTTAAACACTTTTTTATTGTTTATGACAATTGTCCTATCTCTTAATAAAGGAATTTTGGAACCCAAATTTATCTTATTATTAGAGAAAGGAGAGTACTCTTTCACATCATTAACGCTTCGCTCTATTATTGACTCCTATGCTACTCTATTATTTCCTCCTACTTTTGGAGTGGATTGCATTACATTTATATACTCGAATGACATTATTAGTTTTAACCATATAAACTGAGTAATAATGTTCAAATTTTACTTTTAGGTTTTTCATACTGCATTTTTCGTTTCTTAACCTCGTATAGTTCGTACTTCATTTTTCATTTCTTAACCTCTTATGGAGAGAGAGTGTGAGAGGCAATTGAAATGTGTATATTGTTACTCTACACTCTATAAGTTTGTTACTTCTTAACTTGATAACTCTTCGATTCTAACCATATAATTTGCATTATGTTGCATATTAATTAGACATCAAGGTGAAGATTGGCAATATGTTTTTGTCATAGTTAGGGATGAAGGTAGGCACTCATTGTTTAAGGACAAATTATGTTACAATAACTTATTCTAAAAGGGGTAATTCAATAATTTAGCATTACCTTGAAATAGGTTATCTCACCCTAAAAAATTTCTAAGATTAGTTAATCACATGTGACAAAATCTGAACAAAACACGACATTATTTGTCCAATCCAACCCCCTTGTCCACAAACCTCCTTGAAGGGTCATATATGGGTGATTCTATTTAGTTAAAAAAAAAAGTTTCCCACTTCACCTACCTGCACAAGACTTCCTAATGTACAAGTATTACAATGCATATTATGGATGCAATGAGAAATTTATTGTGTAAATAGAAACTCCCATTATATATTAGGCAGGATCTCCTCCTATTTCTCATAATGTGTGAAAGATTCATAATCAATCCTTGCATATGAACACTCTTTTACAGTAGCTGAAGTTGTTATGGGAAGGATAGACAGAACCCAAGAGCACTCTTTTCACCACCATCATAAAGACTCGAGGGGTGTCACCATCGTCGGTCAAATTCGGATGAAGATCCAGTAAGTAGTGTCAACCACCAAGCATGACTAAGAGGAGTCTAGTTGATTTTCTATTGCGAGTGGGTTCCAAACAATGTTGAGAAAACCAGCCATTCTGGAGAACACTCATCTTCTCTGGTTGTAGCTTTTGTTTGATCTAAAGACCAACTGACAGTCATGACATTGTCAGTGCCTCGACACCAAGCCTGAAAATTTCCATAATGTGACACCAGGAATCAACACAAACGATTCAAAATTGCGCATTTACTATAAGACGGAATCAGACGCACTGAAAATGATGTGAAAAGAATGAATTCATTCTATTTTTATTGCATTGAATGCCCATGAATGGAACGATATATCAACAGAGCACATTATTGTAACAACAGCACTAATCGTATCCCTCAACAGAGCACATTATTGTAACAACAGCACAAAGTATCATCTCCGTCAACGAATCTCCTCCTCTCCCACACTAAAAATTGGATTAACTTCGCGGCCTAAATAATCATGCCTTCATAATTGAAGGAGAAGCCTCGTTCTACTCAACTTGTCAGCCACCAAAATATTCTCAGGATATAAACGTTCTGCAACACTAATTTCCAACAGTGGCAGCACTGGCTTCTTGAGCTTCAATAAATTATCAGAAATGCCAATTGACTGGCCTGTGGACATTTTTACAACGGGAATTTGTTCTGCTACTCTGATCTACCTGATGCTGATAGATGTGTTGAATGCCAACATTTCCTTTTGACATAAACAATCGGGTAAAGGGTTCACATAAAACGCTTCTTCTGACCGAAACCTATCCGTGCCCTTGGTTCCAGAAATGGGGCCTTTTCTCTTCCTTGGGGAGCCTTGCCTGTGAAACCAACAAAAAAGAAGCAATTAACAATCTTAGTAACAATGGTCACCATGTGGTTCGCCATATTATTAAGTACCAGAGAAAGGGCATGTTTGGCTGTGTTTTCGCTTAATGCTTTTTTAATTTCATTTTTCAATATACACAAAAAAATTGTTTGATAAACTGTTTTCAAATAATGTTTTTGGGAGAATTTTCCTAAAACAATCCACTTAAAGAAAGAATCAAAAAAGTTAATTTCAAGAAACTGTTTTTGCACAAAAATGAAAACGATATGAAAATGATGGGTATTTTTGAACTTTTCATTATTTTGTTTCCAAGAACACGAAAAATGAAAGGAAAAAAAAAAGCAGCCCCAAATAACTGATTCCTCCAACCCATTCAGCTAAAGTCCATCACTAGTAGAAATTTATTATCCTTCTCCCCAACTATCAACAATGGGAGTGCACAAGAAAAGATTACAGGCCTATATTTATAAGCAGAATAAACATCATTGCAAGAGCCTCAACTATGTTACATGGACTCTAGTCTAGTACAAGTGTTGGGCGTCCAACCTCAAATTTAAGGATAAGTGGACTTGACAAAAAAAAGAAGTCATATTTTCAAATTAGTATGCAATTTTTAGTGTTATATGTAACATACAATGTCAAAAAAAGATATTTTACTCATTTTATAGCAATTATAAACAATACATATATCTAATGATAGTGTTAAATATAAATTATTTAAGAGACATCCGATGTGAAGTATCAGACAAGTCCCACACCCTTATCTATGTGCTAGATGTCCGACATGGGTATTTAATTGAAGAGTCCATATAACATAGACCCCAACAGTATTTACAAAAAAAATAATAATACAACAGACCCCAACAATGGGAGTCTGGTACAAAAATTTTCCAATAAAATAAATCACCATAACCAGAGATTTTGTAGGAGGTCCATGTTCTACAAAATAAAACCTTACAATAGAATAACAAGTTACTTGGACCAAAATAATTTTCTTGAGGAAAACAATCAGGGACATTACACCTAGAAGAACCATTTGTAATTGTCATTGATTTATGTGACAAAGAACAATAAATGCATAAAATTATCATATTTGTACAAAAGGGCTGTGGTTAAGGGATCTTTACATTCACATACCGTCTTCTGTGGATTTCGATAATGCGAGTGGAAAGTTTTTTTCCTTCTCTCATTGTTCCCTGGTATATTTTGTCAAAAAGTTGGACAAGGGCTTTCCTGAAGATCAAGAAAAATAAAGAGAAATACTTCAAGAATTGTTGAGAGAATGAATAGTACATTTAAGTTACTGAAACCTGGATGGGCTCTGAAAGATCAATTGTCTTGCCTGTCGGGAGAAATGGTCTTCCTATGTCCCAAGAAACGACGATGACCCTCAACTGCCCTTGCCATGTTTCCAGAGTATGAAGGAATAAATATATCACTCTCAACTGACACAATGTAGTCCAGAGCAGCCATTTGAGATGAGTGATTGACAAAAGGCTCTAGCTCCTCTGGTGATGCCAGTTTTTCCTGTAAAATCAACAATAAATATAAATTTCTCTATGCTAGCTACCAAACAACATCTAGAACTTTAGATTTTATTAGATAAGCCCTCACTTCATCTCTTCAAATCTTAAAAAATCGAAACCTAGTGCATGATGCTCCTGCTAAACCAGGGTCAAACGTGCAAAGGGAGAGAGAATAAAGAACTGCTGGTACTTAAAGATAAAGCCTAGCTTTTAACTTCAAACTGCACAGGTTCATTTCAAGTACTGAGTGCCCAAAAGTTGAATGTATTGTCATTTTATTAATTGGGATCTTGTCATTGACTCTTATTCTATGTGCCATTCAGACATTTGAGCTTGTTGTCTTTTATGCTTTCTGTATTTAGGGGCACTTTGTATTGTTTATGACCAATGATGTATCCATTAAAGTGAAAATTTGATTTGCAGAATTTATACCTCCAAATTACTCTGTTCAACCCACACTTGAAATCAAAACTCAAAGAAATGAGAAGAAAAACTAAAGATACGTTTCAGTCATTGTTTTACAGAATTTCTAATGGCTGACTATGCATACTTTAGCCTTATAAATCATGGTGAAGGCTCTACCCCATATCAACATTCTTGTTATTTTCTCCGTTCTCACATTTTATCTGTCTGTTCGGTAAACTTTGTAGCAGCTCTCTTTTCTACTCCGTGAGAGCAATAAAGAATCTTATAAAGAGGTAAATACAGTACAGGTATAAGGAACACATAAATAATCTTCAAAATAGCTTAGAGTATCTCGATGTCTAAAATAAGTCAAATACTCTACAGTATCTATCAACCATTCCCCACAACTCTCCATAATATGCCTCAGTGATCATTCAAACTTGTCACAGTAAACCAATAAAAATATTAAAGACCAAAATGACAGATTATGCACGAAATAGACGAGATGTAATCATTTGTGTGACGGTTGGAAGAATGTTACTTTATGCAGGTTGTCTACATTTCCAAATCCTCCTACTGCCTTCATGCTTCAGTAAAAAGTTCAAATACCCAAAACAAACAAATAATACAATGGGGGAAAAAAAGATTTGTTTGTTCCGATTTTATACAAGCGAATGACAAGCATGTTTGCCATCATGGGATCATGCTTTCTGAGAACAAACTTCACATATTGATTTTTGTCATTTCTTCCGCGTTCTGATTTTCAACTCTATTTTATTTTTTGGAAGGTTAAAAAAAGAAAGGGGCATTATCGCTAGCTTTCACTGCCGCCAGTTTCATGCAAAATGAAGGTTCTTGGTCTGGAAATCCACTCTTTTCTTGGGCATGGGTTGATCACCAATGTGTATTTAGTGACAAAGCCAAGTAAAATCTTGACAATTACTTGTATGCAATATAGGAACAAAAAAAAAAAAATCTTAAAAAATCTTTACTCAAGACAACACTTTCACTTTAAAATATGCAGTAGTCAGAAAGAACTGCAAACACAAATTTGAGCATATCTTGACAATTACTTGAGCATATTTAGTGACAAAGCCAAGTAAAATCTTGACAATTACTTGTATGTAATATAGGAACAAAAAAAAAAAATCTTAAAAAATCTTTACTCAAGACAACACTTTCACTTTAAAATATGCAGTAGTCAGAAAGAACTGCAAACACAAATTTGAGCATATCATGGCTGAGTAAGGTAGTAATAATAATAATAAATAATAAAAAAAATAAAAAACCAAATAAATGATTAGCTGTTGAAAAAGAACTCCGATGGAGAAAGTTTCCAACACCAGTTTTCAGTTTTTGTGCTCAATTAGTAAGTGGCCCTCTTTTATAATGGGGTTTTACACCACACTGCCATTCATTTACAATGTTCAAGTCCAGATGATGATAAAAGGTAATCACTATGTTATAATATCAGTGAATTATCTCAAGTCTTTGTCACCTCCAAGGTGCATTCACTATTTCAAAATAATGGGAGCATCACATAGCAGTATCTGCAGTTGGGTGTATCCCCCCTGTAGGTGGCTCCCACTTGCTCAGCTGTTTCTCTGTCTGGTTACCAATCACAGACTTAATTCAAAATGGGTTGTGCATGGTGTCCTAAAATTCACCCTCAGTCAAACAAGATTCAACAGATTGACAGATCATCATAATACCTCTGTATTATAAGAATCAATCACAATCAGATCAAAATGCAATACAGGTAAACCAATATGATATATTTGAAATCTAGGTATATCTACAAACTACAATATATATAGTACCTTATGTGTTAGTAACAATGCCCTAGATTTTATCCAAAGGTTATCTCATAATATTCTAGATACTACGTGCATGTTCTTAAGCAACTTTTAAGACCTAGTAGTAGTTTCCAATCACAACCACCCTTGGAGATTAGCCCAGTGGCCAGAACCCATGTCCCTCATTAGGAGGTAACGGATTTGAATCCTTTCACCCTCTAATGCCAAAGAAACTTTCCAATTTAGCAAGGAATGAGAGAGATGCCAACTTCTTTCATCAGATGCCCTATCTCCGCTTGTGCACCCCTTACCGTTCTTGCTCAGTGTTTGCAACAGCCGCGAAGACAGTCCCAGAAGCGAAGCCTATCGCCACACACCAACCATCGAATACGAGATTGGGCCTCTAACAAAAACCGATATCAGATTCAATTATTTAGGATACAGAAGATTATTTTAACCTAGATCTAGCCTATAACAAAAACTGATATCAGATTCAATTATTTAGGATACAGAAGATTATTTTAACCTAGATCTAGCCTATAACAAAAACTGATATCAGATAATGCTAAATCCAGGTTGAAACCCAACCCATTAACACATTTGCTAACAGGGACAGCACACCCACTTAATCCTGTAATCTTTGAGAAAAAAAAAATGTACCAAGATATCCCTCAGCCTATGAGCCATTAATCTCAATTGCATTATAACCAGTTTGTATAACAACTTAAAGTTGGCATACGGTCTCATTGATGTCTAACATCATCCTTTGACCATACATGTTCTTAAGCAACTTCTAAGACCTAGCTTCCAATCACAATGAAAATATATCAATTTTCAAGAAACTAGAAATCAGATTCAATTCTTTAGGAGGCCACAGATTAGTTTTTGGAATACTAGATGTGACGTATAACCAGAACTGATATCAGATGATGCTAAATCAGGTTAAAACTCAACCTACTGACATGCTAGCCGAAAGGCATAGCAGTATAGCACACACCACCTTGTATGATTACAAACAACTCCCTTAAATCCTGAAATCTTTGAGAAACAATGTACCAACATATCCCTCAGCCTACGAGCCAATAATCTCAATTGCATTATTACCAGTATGTATCACAACTTAAGGTTGGCATATGGTCTCATTGCTAGTGCTAAATTATGATTACTTCCTCTAATTAGCATAGAAGTAGACAGCACAGACAGTGCACATGGCATTACTCGATTAGCATTGGTGATTGTCATTAAAGTGTAGCATTGCGATACTCATGTAACCCAATGAATTAAACTAGGATAGACGTACAAACTCAGAGATCGTTCTTATGTTCTATGAGCTACCACACACGGTCTATAACATTTTTTTTAAGTCATTCAATTAACATTACATAAATAGTTTTCACAATCCGTGTTTCTCATGAATTCAGACATGCACAAGGCCCTTCCACTCCAAGTGGAAAGGGTGCCTTTGGAGTTCAAGAGATTCTTATTAACAATAACAGCACAACCATCTACTTTTGGGTAGAGAAATACCTTCTTCATTAATAAGGGATAGCGCGATTGCAGATCAACCATATGAGAATCACCCCCATATATCTCTCCAGCAGCGATATATATGGGGGTGCTTGACAGGAATCCCATAGCAGTGAGGAATAATCCAACTTCCTTTGGAGTCAAGGGGCAATATCCTTTGGCTCTTTGTTCCGTGGCATCGATATCCTTTACTTTCCAATATGAAGTGTTCTCTCTACAAGTTCAAAATGAAAACATGACATATAAAGTCAATCCCAGGCAGCATATCCATTAAAGGCTCTTCAGTCAAATAAGTACACAACTCAGAAACGCAAGTATATGTAAAATTATAGAGACATTTCCCACCTGATTATCTTTAGTTCATCAGCTTCCTCAGGGGATAAATCATGTGTGCACCCACTAAAAGCAAGCATGTCCTTTTCATATCGTAAATGCAAAGCAATGTATGGACCATGAGACCTCATCCGATCCACCAACAACTACAAAAAGAAATGGTACTGCATTACCCAAACGGACATATATAGCCACTCCAAAAAGTCAAGATTAGTATTAGAGATGTTACTTTTCCCATTGCTTCAATTTGTGGTGAGAAACGGAGGGCTTCATAACAAGCTCGACAGCGCAGCTTCTGAATGTCTGGAGGCAGATTATTATTTGCCAGTCGAGAATCAGACTTAGCTGCTCGAATAACCTAAGGAAGATGAGAAAATTCAAATATTACATTTTTTTGATAGGTGAATATTGCATTTGAAATATTAAATTATATTCCCCTCCAAAAAAAATACTTTAGTCCATAAACCTGATAATCCATCCACAAGCTAGCAATCTCATCCTGGTAATAATCAATACCGGACCAGCTCCTAAAGTGCTTAACTACTCTAGTAGCATTTGCCAGTTCCTTAGGAAGCTTTTTAATGACTATTACATCATTAGCCAAGGAACTAATAAAATGATCCTCATCAAACACATCAGAAAATACGCTGCAGTTCGAACATGTAATGTTAACAACAGTATCAAGCATGCAAAAAATTTATACATAATTGCGAATTATGAATTTGAAAAATGATACCTAGTGTCATGCCAAAATGAGCGCTTATCAAGTTCTGGGATTACAAGTGTAGCATTTATAATACGGGCAACAGCAACCATGTCACATATCTGAAAGTTGAAAATAAGATAGTTCTTCAGCTCAATGTAATATAACTGTATCAACAACATTATGATAGTGATGAAATGTATGACACCTTGGCAGCTTTACTTCTGCATGGCTGTTGTGCCATACATTGCAAAATATTCCCAAAAAAAAAAAAGAAAGAAAAAGAAAAAGAAAAAAGTACAATAGGTTACTTACAAATTGTTATACTAACATATAATCAACAATAAACAGGTAAAAGGAAGCAATTATAGAAGCAAGTAATTTCCGAAGGCTAGATTACAGTAGCAAAATAACAAATAAAAGGAGTGTGTTACAACTTACATGCATATTTTGACAACTAGGAACTGATTCAAAGAACATCAACTAGCCAATTTCATTAAATGTGGTAATTACCATAAATAGGACGGATGGGATCAATCTGCTTTTAAGTTTTTGGAATTGACCATTATAAATAGAGTAAGTACCTCATAGTAATAGAACCAAACTAATCAAAATCATGCAATTTTGGTTTGAGTTCAAATTTACATCCCTAAAGCTCCAGATGTTGCTAATTTGGCATACTCACAGACATGGAAGGTCTTTTAATGTGCCAAAAGAAGTCAATGATACAATTAGACATAGTATTGTTCACGTCAAAGAAGGATGCTCACTTCCTACGATCATTCATCTAATCTGGCTTGGAGGCACATTTCACTATTCGGAAAGGAAGAGACTTCTGTCCCCATAGCAATTCACAATCAGGGATCCATTCACATTTTATGTCATAAATGTGCGATAGGAAAGCATACTCAATTTCTTGCAACCTTCACCTCAAGTAAGTCAGCTATAAATGTTTATTTTAGTACATTGAATAAAAGTAAAATTAAAGTTGTAATAGGAAGAGCTGAAGACATAAGAATGTTTACCACTTGTTTGTAATTATTTTTCACAACTCCCACTGAACTGAAATTTCCCCTAAAATAAATAAATAAAACTGTAACTACTCTTTTGAATAAGAATTATGTGAAAGCATTTCCACAATACTCCTAAAATCTGGCAAGTATTGGCAAAAGCTTATTGACTGTCAAACCTTAAAATCTCATAACAGGTTATGGCTGGAGTGATTATACTATGTTAGGTTTACCACAGAAAGGGGGAAAAAATCCCTAATAACAGAAGCACTTATTATCAGGATGGGAGTAGCTTGACAAGAGGTATGATTAAGCCCAACTCAGTATAGAATTAACATGAAAGAGATAGAGAGAGTACGGACCCCAGCTCGCATCTGATTTAGTCCGCCATTTGAATGAACAAGAAGGTAACCTTGAGACTCGTCAGGAGCTGATGAACAACAATTTTATGAATGAACAAATAAATAATTAAATAAAAGTTATGAATGAGTTTCATAAGTGTAATCTTGAAGCAAAATCACAGCTCCCTTACATTTGTAGGTAGAACCTGGCTCAACACAGGGCACATAGTCTCGATTTGGTGGCGGCTTCCATAGCTTGTATACATTGAAAATTCCCCTTGCACCATCCAACTGTCAAGTCTAAAGGAGTGAAAACATGACTATTTTGGATGAATTTGCACATGTTTTATGTCATCATGTATAATAACAATGACAGCAAACCGCACAATATACCAGATTAAATTAAAACATCCTTCTTATTCATGAACACCGATTAAAAAAAAGACAGACCAGAAACTAAATAAATAAATTTCTTAAAATGGGTTTAAAATGAATACAAAATTAATGAAGTCAAAGGCAAGCTGATAGGAACATCTACTAAGAGAAGCAAAAAACCTTGCGAGCAGGGAGAGGAGCTCTTGACAAATGAGGCGGTGCTACTTCTAGCTTCCAGCTTCTCTCTCCTCCCAATTTTTGGTATCCAATTTCTTGTTGCTACAAAATTGAAACCCAGATCAGTAAACAATCTAATTTTATACCCCTAATTAATTGATGACAATTTAATAAGATATCATAATACTAAGAACAAAATTTCCAAATTATTTCCAAAAATGGCTACTTAAATGTACACACCCCATCTTAACAATAATCAAAAGAGGAACTTTGAAGCATTCAAATAACAGTACTTTATATATAGATTCAAAGAAGAAAATATCCGCAACCACAATTAGCCGTTATTTTTAGGGGGAAAAAACAATCTTCCTGTGAAATGTTAATATAATTATAAAATCCGAATAATAAAATCAGAAAAAGAAATTAAAAACTGAATCGAGTTTGACTATAAAAGCTTCAATTTTAAGTCATTAACACATACAATGATACGTATATTTGTATATACATCCAAATATCAGTAAAGCACAGCAAACCAAAGTTCGAAGATCATAGAAGTCCAGAATTCGCAAAACCCTAGAATCAGAGAGAGAGAGAGAGAGAGAGAGAGAGAGGAGACCATGGGGAGCTTGTAAGAGTCAGGAAGCTTGGAAAGGAACAGGCGTACGTGGGCATTGAGCAGGGCCAGTAGGCCTAATGAACCTATGGCGCACGTTAGCAACTTCCTCAGCAGCCCTAACGTCTTCCACCTCCGCCGCTTCATCTCTCTCTCTCTCTCTCTAAAACACACACACAAACTAATAATGTGAAAAACGATTACTCGACGCCATTTCTGCAACTCAATCTCTCTCTCTCTCTCTCTCTCTCTCAATGTTATTTTTATTCCATCCTTCCTGTTGTCTGTGAAATTATGGTTTCACAGAGGCAAAATGAGAGGCATTTATATTTGGGTTTGCACAACAAAGAGTAATAAATGAGAGGGTGATCCAGAGAGAGAAATATAGACCAATTGGGTTGGGTTGGGGCGAGAGATTTGGGAAGACAACAAAGAAAAAAAAAGTAATAATGAGTAATGTTAGAGAGCTATAATTTTAAATATTTTATTAAAAGTTTTACTAAATATTTTATATGGGTGTGGAATTTATATGGGACCCATATTGTGTGGGTCCTAAATGAGTAATGTTAGAGAGCCGCAATTTTAAATATTTTATTAAAAGTTTTACTAAATATTTTATATGGGTGTGGAATTTATATGGGACCCATATTGTGTGGGTCCTACATTCATATGAGACATTTGATAAAATTTTTGTTAAAATATTTAAGATCTCTAGCATTACTCTAATCAAAGAGTTGTTCTATACAACTTGATCTTTGCAATCTATCCAATAAAAATCAATGGGCTGGCATGAAAATCTTGGTATTTTAATTGATTTTTTTTACTTTTTAATTATTTTAATTTAGTTAAAAAAGTTATGTTTATAATGGTAGTTGTCTTTTTTTTTATTATTAATTTGATAATTATGAAAAAAATAAAATAATTATAATTTAGATGAGATATTTTATTTTGTTAATTATTTTAATCTTTTTAATCTTTATTTATTATTTTAGTCTCCAACCTCCTCTCTAAACACCCCAATACAAAATTTTAATCTTGGGTTTTTTAAAGTATGCATTAACTCACTTTAGGAGGTGTTTGGAAAGTTGATTATTTTAGTAAGTTATTTTAATTTTTATCTATTTTAGTTGATTAAAATAATTGTACTTGAAAAGTAGATTAGATTTTTTTTTTGTTTTGTAGTTAAATGTGATATTTGTGAGAGAAAAAAGTAAAATAATTATGAACTGTGACATTTTGTCTTATTAACTATTATAGCCTATTTTGTCTTTTAATGCCATTTTAGCCCAAAAAATCAAAAAAATTCTATTGCCAAGCACCCCATAACCCCACTATCATAGAAAATTAAATAGGTTATAAATGTTGTATTGTTAGAGAGCAAATTTATTTTGTTTGGATTTTTAGAATTCATTTTTCAGAAAAATAATTTTTTTTTACAATTTTTTTTTAATATTCTAAGTAATTTTTTAAATATTTAGATACATCTAACATAAATGTACTTAAAAAGTATAATATTTGTGAAAAAAATATTTAGCAAATTCACTAAATACCAAAAATATATTTTAAAAAAATACGAGAATTCAGTACATTTTTTGTATTTTTGTATATTTATTATTTTTAAAAAATATTTTACTTTTGAGATATATCTAAATAAGGTACATTAGGGATGACAATTTGAAACCGGCCCGACGAGGACCCGCTCCCCCAACCCCGATTAGAGTGATTTTTTTCCGAAAAATACTCCCGACGAGCCGGGGATGGTATTCAAAAATAAATCCCCGATGATTTTCAAGTCGGGGACGAGGACACGTTTTCTAGTCCCGATCTCGTCTCCAATCCCGGCCCGTTTTCCCCCGAAGTAAAATTACTATTATACCCTCTCTATCCTTCATTCATATATATACCCTCCTCTCTCTCTCTCTCTCTCTCTCTTCTCTTTACTCTCTCTCACTCTCGCATATCTCCTCCTCCTTCTTAGCGGTGCCACCACTACTGTCCATGACGCCGTCCAGCTTGTACTGCTGCTTCACTTTCACGTTTCTCCTCCACTGCTGCTTTACATTGCATCGTCGCTCTACCTTCTCCGTCGTCCATCGCCACCGATCTCCTCCGTCATTCGTTACAGTACCAAACCATCGTCTCCGTCGTCCTCTCTCTCTCTGTGACACACTCAGATACACATATCTAAGATCTGTTGTTGATGATTTTGTTGATCTGAGATCTGTTGATGTTGATGATGATCTGTGTTGATGTTGTTGCTTCTGTTTTTTTTTTTTTTTTGGTCGGGGAATTTCCGGGGTCAGGGAAACCTGATACCCGTTAAGAGACGAGGATAGGGACGATAATACGTTCCTCGTCGGGGATTGTGGCCAGGGACGAGAAAATTTTTCCCATCGGGGACGGGAAGTGTGATCCCGGCCCCGCCCTGGCCCGTTGCCATTCCTAAGGTACATCTAAAAAAGTGGAAAAAAAAATTGCCTAAATTTTTTAAAATATTCACTAAAAATAAAAAAATAAAAAAATGAAAAATGAAAAATGAAAAACTCAATTTTCAGAAAATTGAAATCAAACATAATTGCCTCTATTTTAATATTTTTATATACTTTTCATAATAGAATATTTTTTAACATTTTTTATTTATTTATAAAAGTGAATACCCTTTAATTTTAAATGAAACATTTCGTGGCTTTAAAAAAAAAATTGAATGCCCTTTATTTTTAAATTTTGAATGACATTTTCCTTACACCATATAGTTTAATTATAATTAAAAATAAAGTGTATTTGAAATTAAAAAAAATTCATAAAATGTCATTTAAAAATAAAGTTTCTTTGTTTGATATTATGGAATTTTTTTATATTTGTTATAAATTTATTTTTCTTACACCATATAATTTAAGTGTGATTGAAATTTAAAAATAAAAAAATCACGAAATGCTATTTACAAAAACAAAATTTAATTTTATAATTAAAAAATATTTAAAAAAATTTCATTATGAAAAGTACATAAAAATAGAGGTAATTTAAAAAAATGGTAATTTGGTCTCTAACAATACAATATGACTAATGTTATATGTACTATACTGACTAATGTATCAATTGATGATGTGCTATAATTTAAGGGGCATCGCTTCTGTCTAGTCCTTAATCGGACTGGACCGTGCTGTTGGGCCCGTGGGTCCCATCACGGGTCCTGTTTTAATAATCTGAACCGTTCAATGTGTAGAACTCGTCGAGAACTATATGTTTGTAAAAAATTACGTTAATCGGATATCGATAGCTATGTGATCAAATCAGTTTTGTATAAAAAAAATGGACGGTGAATAAATTAACGGTTGACAAAAATTTATTTTGATCACATAACTATCGATATCCGATCAACGTGATTTTTTACAGGCATATAGTACTCGACGAGTTCTACACATTGAACGGTTCAGATTATTAAAACGGGACCCGTGGTGGGCCCCCACGGGCCCAACATCACGGTCTAGTCCGATTAAGGACTGGACAGAAGTCATTCCCTAATTTAAGATATTTTTGGTATTTATAATTTGTATAATCAGTGGAGTCAATAATAATGTCATAACTTGTATTGGTACACTAGTTACTACATTAATTGGTTCATGTAGCACCATTCATACAATATTATAACCCATTGAATTTTCTATGATAGTAGAGTTAATTAAGGTGAGTTAATACATCCTTAAACAAAACCTATTAAATTTTTAGATAAATTACAAATGCACTTCTTGAGGTTTGCTTAAAGAACAAATTGCTCCCCGCAGTTTGAAAAATTACAAATACTCCTTTGTTAGAATTCTTTGTTTAACAAAATTAACTAAAAAAATGAAATTCATAATTTTCCTCCAATACAATAATAAAATTACTTAAATTATTAATTAAAACATATTTTTAACATCATTAAAAACTATTAATTGACTTGATGATTTATTAATAAAATGAGCCATTTGTTATGAAATTAGAAATCTCAAGGAGTAGAATGTAATTTTCAGAACAACAGAGAGTGATTTGTATTTTAATAAAACCTCAGGGAGTGTATTTGTAATTTACCCATAATCTTTATGTGTAGAAAATGAATAATGTTATATGCACCAATTGGTATGCTAATTAGTATACAAATAGATGATATGATATAATTTTAAATATTTTAAGTATTTATAATTTGTATAATTGATAGAAAATTACTACAAGGACGGCTATGACTAATGGTTAATATTTGTACACACCTGAAAAAGAAAAAAAAGGTAATAAAACATCATAAAGGAAAATGTTAATGGACAATAATGGTTAAAAATAACTATATTAAGTTGTCATTTGGCAAAAAAATTTTTAATTGACTTTAGAGTCGAGGTTTTTTCAACTGGGGATTAAAAAGTTTGTTTGGCAATTTTTTTTTTTTATTTTTTTGATTTTTGTAAAAGAAAAAGTGAAGTATTATGGTTTGAATGTGATATTTTATCTTATTGACTTATTTAACCTATTTTATCTTTTGTATTTTTTTAGTCCCAACCTAAATTGCCAAACAAAGCCTAAGTTAATACGATCTACATTATTATATAAGTATAAACATTGTTTGGTCTTTGAACCTTGGATTTCTAATTCTATTTTTATAAATTTTTGAATTTAAAAATTATAAAAATATACAAGACACATTATCATTGATTCTTTCATTTAATGTTTTAATTGAACCCTTGATTAATATGGAAAAACTTTTAAATTTATTAATTTATGAACCATTTAAGGAATTTATTATTAATACTATATAATTTGTTTGGTTCTAGTTTTTAGAAAATTCTATTTTTTTATTTTTCGTATTTTAATGTTTTCAATGAAAATTTTTAATATTTTAAGATTTTTTTTTGAATTTGTAGACACACCTAACATAAATACACTTAAAAAATATAATATTTGTGAAAAAAAAATCTTTAAAAAATACACTAAATACCAAAAAATACAAAAAAAAAAGAGAGCAAAAATTCAATAAATTTTTCGTATTTTTGTGTATTTATTAATTTTTAAAATATTTTTAAACAAATATTTTACTAGTTAGATTCATCTAAGTAAGGTGCATCTAAAAAAGTAAAAAAAAATTGCTTAAAATTTAAAAAATATTTACTAAAAACAAAAAAATATGAAAAACAAAAAACTCAGTTTTCAGAAAACTGGAACCAAACACACTGATCTATATTTATATTCTATATCTATAATTTTAAATTGAAAATAAAAACTTCATATATTAAATATGTTTGGGAAGTTGGGTTTGGGGATTTTTTGGCTAAAATAGCGCCAAAAAACAAAATGGATTTTTTCGCCCAATATGACAAAAACATCACATCCAATCCATAATCA